CATATCATTCTATCTATCTGTCTCCCTGTCTGTTGTTTTATCTGTCTGTCTGTTCTGTCTCTCTATCTGTCTGTCATTCAATCTCTTTGTGTTGTTCCGTCTGTCATTCTATCTCTTGATCTGTCTGTCATTCTATCTTTATGTCTTTCATTCTATCTATCGGTCTGGTGTTCTGTCTTTGTGGTTCTATCTGTCTGTCATTCTATTTCTTGATCTATCTGTCATTCTGTCTCTGTCTATTGTTTTATCTGTCTGTCATTCTCTGTCATTTTATGTCTCTTCTCTCTGTCTGTCATTCTGTCTCTGTCTGTCATTATCTGTTTTGTCTTTGTGCATCTATCTGTATGTTTGTCTGTGGTTCTATCTGTCTGTCTTTAATATGTCTCTTGTTCTGTCAGTCTTTATCATTCTATTTGTCTGCCATTCTATCTATCTGTCTTCCTCTATCCATTACTCTCATCATTCGTTTCTATCTGTCTATCTATATATCTGTCTATCTATCTATCTATATATATATTGTTTGTTCTACCTCATTCACTTGATATTTCTGTTCTGTCTACTTTATCCTTCTATTGTTTTATCATTCTATCTGGAAAGTGTCTGTTAAATAAGGTTGACTAATAAAAGGCCATCATTTTTCAATGGAGAGAATAACTGGAAGTTTTACTTAAAGAAATCAGCTGTTGTGCATCCTGCATTTTTGATGAAATGAACAAACCAACTCATTAGTAAAAGCACTGCCTTGTTTTGTTGCATGCATATTAGCTAAAAGCATTTGTTGCATTATTTTTTTAAACACCTTTTGGTGTAAGATTTGAGCCAGAGAAGCAACATTTATAACGTCATTGTCAGGGTTTATTGGTCATTTTCTGTAGTTTAACCTAATGCCCGTTACCTAGATTAAAAAAATAGCTGCTGCTAAGCAAGAAATCACTGGTGAAAACGGGTTTCATTTGCTGAGTTTGGCGGCGACTGTGTTTTACTGCAGAAATTTGGAAATGAAAACGCCTACAGAAGCCTCGATGCGCTCCAAGGCCGCATTTGAGTCATACAGAGTGTCATTCTCTTACATGCGTGACCTTGAGCTGTGTGTACTGGTGTCAGTGGGAAGCGCCTCTGCAGTGGGCTGAAGTTTCCAGCATCTCCGAGCTCATAATGGATAATCCCCCTCAAATCATCCAGCATGCAGACTCCCCCAATCCTCCCTCTGTGTTATTTCAGCCGCTTTCTCCAGCCCTCGGGCTTGTTTCAATGTGCCACTTTGCTTTTTTCCCTTCTTAAAAAACCCATCCTATTGATTTATTTATTTATTTTTCATTGGGTTTGATCCTCTGGATAATCCCCCTCAAATCATCCAGCATGCAGACTCCCCCAATCCTCCCTCTGTGTTATTTCAGCCACTTTCTCTAGCCCTCGGGCTTGTTTCAATGTGCCACTTTGCTTTTTTCCCTTCTTAAAAAACCCATCCTATTGATTTATTTATTTATTTTTCATTGGGTTTGATCCTTTGGCCCAGGGCTTGAGCAGGGCTTAGAAACTAATCCGAGAGCATGTCTACCTTTACACGCATGCTGCTTGCTGTGCACACTTCCAAAAACACTGTTAAAGTCAGCATGAAATCAAAACGGACCCTATTTACTTTTTTAATGCACATTCCCGGTCTTATTGTGAACGATTTGTCAATGCTCATTTTCATTTTAAAGACAGGTTTTTCTATAGCTCATGCTGCGTTTAAGCCCTCCTGGGACATTCGTACTTACGAGTTGACAAGTCGTAATTACGACGTCTGGTGTGTTCAAGTCCGTTTAGTCGGCACAAGATGGCGGTGTACCTTCTTTTAATAAATTACAAGAAAATACAACCGGGTCTGTTAACTCTGCTTATAAAAAATGAAGAGCAAAGAATTCGCATCAGGTGTGTTTTGCGTTTTTTATATATTTCTTTTTAGACCAGGATCCCAGTATAACTGATTTTCAGCATCAACAAATGTTAAAATACAGAGATTTAAAAAAGCTGTTAGCTAAATGCAACATGCAACATGGCAAATCAAAAGATTTTTCACCTATAGGTGCAAAAATAATAGCATTTTTTTTACTTGGATTTCATTAACTAGCTGCGTAACAAGAACATGACCAATTTAAATTTATAGGACAAACTACCAATTTAAACAAAAATTTACCATCAACTACAGACGTTGCATCCATCGATTCCGCCATGTTTCTCATTGACACGCCCCCAACTCGGAAACTCTGGGCTTAAAGAAAATTGAGTTTCCCACTCGTAATAACGACTTTGTGGTGTTATGTGCGTTCAACTCGTGTGCGTTCAACTCGTAAATACGATCTATCCGACATGACTTGAATGCACCATCAAATTGTAGAGCATGTCGCCAGCAACAACAAGGTTATGGGTTCAATCCCAAGGGAATACAGGAATTGACAATATACTGTACTTTCAGTGCAATGTTTTTATCGCTTTTGATAAAAGCATCAGGCAAATGCATAAATGGTGTTATGTGAAACCGCTTTAATAAATAATCTTTAAAGGAATTGTTCACCAATAAATGGCAGTTCACTCATTTTGTTTTATTCAACCTCATTTAGTTGCAAACTAGTGTTATTTTAGTATTATTTCTGAACTATTACAGTTTTTGCTAAAATATATTTATATATATATATATATATATATATATATATATATATATA